AAGAAAATGGTGTTGGAATCTCGTTTGGTGCTTGCTATGTACTTAATCTTAACATTTTTTGAACATATTATCTTGAGATTATTTGTAGCCACAGAGCAGGGCCAAGACGAAGACATACCCGCGTGCAGCTCCTCCATCGCCTCCCAAGCCAGAGCCAAGGACGACGCCAGCGAGCGCCGAACCAGATCGAGCGCTCGATTCGGAGCACACACAAGCAGCTGACCTGAAGCCGCCACCATGAACGAGGCCGACGAGACAACGCAGCACCCGAAGCACACCAAGTCGCGGGCGTCTCCGCCACCCTCGCCGCCCGGCCGGAGCCAAGCGCTGCACCTAGGAGCCCACCCCGACAGCAAAAGCCTAGCTACAGAGCCAGCAAACTATACGCTAATACACAGCCCACCCATGGATCTGGGGCCCCCTAACCTCACGACGCCCACGAGAGCGACGGAAGCTAGGGGACGCAATTTCTTTTTCAAACCAGGCGATGCAATTTCTTTTTCAAACTCTTAATGTACAGTTCGTCATGGCCAACCATGCTTAATGAGTCTGAAGGCAGTAATCAAGTTTTATGAAACTCTCAATGTACAGTTTAAGACAGATCCATGTTTTTTTAATCAACACAACGCAAGCTGTAATAGTCATTAGGCTGGTCGTAATGGTAGTATCATAGCTAGTATTATGCATGTCAACTAGACAATTTTGATGAGGTGTCATAACATTAAATGAAGAAAGAGAGGGTGTAGTATCATATCATGATACCGTATCATATTAAATGCTATGCAACTTTGTGTTATGCATGGCAATAAATAGAGTACAACATGATACTAATATATGATACTATGCATTAAGGAGGTAATATTATACACTACTCCCCCCGTCCGGGTTTATTAGGCCTAAAGACAACTTCTCTTAGACCAAGACACATAGTAATTTGCCCACATTTATTCTTCCATTCCACTCCCATCGCCCCCTAACCTCCGTCCGGGTTTATTAGGCCTCTTAGCATTATAAGCATGTCCCTTTTTATAAGGCCTCGCTTTGAAAAGGTGCATGCGTGCAACCATTTCATTGGTTGCATTGAAAGCCATTGTTGTTGGTGTCATGACTGAGAAATTAATACACTTCATGCGTGCTTTTTTATTGGCTGCATGCATGTGAGAGAGTGCATTGAGAGTGGAATGGAAGAATAAATGTGGGCAAATTACTATGTGTCTTGGTCTAAGAGAAGTTGTCTTTAGGCCTAATAAACCCGGACGGAGGGAGTAGTGTATAATACTACCTCCCTAATGCATAGTATCATATATTAGTATCATGTTGTACTCTATTTATTGCCATGCATAACACAAAGTTGCATAGCATTTAATATGATACGGTATCATGATATGATACTACACCCTCTTTTTTTTCATTTAATGCTATGACACCTCATCAAAATTGTCTAGTTGACACGCATAATACTAGCTATGATACTACCATTACGACCAGCCTAATGACTATTACAGCTTGCGTTGTGTTGATTAAAAAAACATGGATCTGTCTTAAACTGTACATTGAGAGTTTCATAAAACTTGATTACTGCCTTCAGACTCATTAAGCATGGTTGGCCATGACGAACTGTACATTAAGAATTTGAAAAAGAAATTGCATCACCTGGTCTGCAAACAAAAAAAGAAATCTATTGTATGCTCGAGTGACAAGACGGCCGAGTGTGGTAGGCTAGGCTAACACGGGACAAATTGTGCCGAGTGTGGTACTTGTTGCAACCAGTTCTAGAATTCGTCATACTAAAGGGATAGATCGTGAAACATTTGCTACTACTAGTGAACGAATCCAGTACCAAACCATGTGCTTTACCCGTGATATATTATCTGCTATAAAAGAACCGCTGCGTTGTTATACATTGGTTCATAAATACGCTATGGCAATCCATATGCAAAAGAGTGATGCGGATAAGCATACCACTAGACGCCGTGCACCAAATGAGCTTTTCATGGTCTCGTGGGAGGCTAACTCTTGTGATGGACAGAGGCCACACGATCGCGTGCGATCAGACGGCCCGTGACGTGGCTTACGAACCAACAAATCATCCGATTAATTTAAAACGTTTTCCATAGAAAAATGGATGTTGCTTTGTCTCAACTTCTCTCCTTCTCCACCTCGTGCTCTTCCTACCTCATGCCACCCATCCAGTCTCCGACCACCACAGCGCCGTCCTTCTCCTCCGCCCCAGCATGACACCACCGCTACCCCTGATTCTGCACCCATGCGCCAGCCGCTCCACCTCACTCAGCGACTCGGTCGCCCGCTCCCATCCTCACTACCTGCAGCACGACGGCGCCATCGACCCTGCTTCTCCACCCACATGGCTTCGGCTCAACGGCGGGTTCCTATTCTCTAGACAGATCCGGCCACGATCGTGATGACCACACCACAGCCCTGGCAGCACTTTGACCGTTCCAAGATGAGGAGAGCAACATAATCACGATCGCCTCAACAGTAATCTGAATGGCGCCAGCCACAAGAGCACACTACCTTCTGCCCATGCATGGCCATCTCCTCCCCCCTCCGTCTGTTCCGTTGTAGCCACCACCCGCTTCCATTTACGCAGCGGCGACGCATCATAGTTCCCGCTGGCCTGGCAGCCAACTGACGGCAACAGAGTGTCCTGACTCCTGGGATCATAATTTAGATCGATCACATGCCCTTTCAACTCCTCGACCTTCCAACTCCTAGGCTCCATCACTGGTCGGTGGCAGGTTTAGGCTGCTCATAGTGGAGAGTAACTTAGACTAGTAACATGCATATGTTACTAGTCTATGTTACTACCTTCATAGTGGGTAGTATCATATATGTGGTAACATACATGTCTTCATTTATTACTGTGTAGACTCATTTTGCATTGGGAAGCGCTATGTGATGGTAACATATTATGTTACTCTATTTGCCTCTTTCCTCATTAACTATTTGCCACCTCATCATTTTTGCTTATGTGGCACCTAAGTTACTACCTATGTTACTCCCACTATGACCAGCCTTAGGTCTAGATTGTCCAGGACTCCAGGAGGAAGAAGAAGAGAGGCGAGAGAGTCTAGCGCTAAGAAATTTTAGGATTTTGGATCGAGGAGATTGATTAGATGGAATTGCATGCAGGTGCGTCCTTTAATTGTGCGATCTGGCCTCTACATGCATGATAAATTGGGATGGCTAACAGGCTAAGGAAACCGTTAAAAACCGGATACAGGAGGAGATCAAGGTAAGGTAGAAAAATTGGTGGGACTGAAGTCATCGTTCCATCGATGGGAGGGGCTGCGAACGAATGAAACGAGGTACCGACTCACCCTTTAATTAGGAGTAGAGATGACGAGAACCACGGCTTGCAGCACCTCCGCGGGGCGCGGAGAACGAGAGCTCGCCGCCCGCCCAGAAGAAAATTTTGAACTGTCCTTGAATCTGTGTCGTCCAGGAGAAAGTTTTGTACATGAAAAGTCTCGATTGTTGTTTTCTATTGTATGGCTGTGTGGTGTTGTATCTGAAAAGTCTTGATTAGATACAAAGCGACGAGACGACCTACCAACTGCTACATTAGAAGTAGAGATTAAAATGTCAAACTTTGGCCCAAAATAAAAGAAGGCATAGTAAACCCATACGAAGGAAGTTAATGTATTGGACTTCTCGAAAGAAAAATAAACTACATAGAAAATAAAGTGAGGTTTGAGCTCATGTCTAGTAAATTTCTATAGAATGGAGGGTATATGAATGGATGCAGATTGGTGTCCAAAAGAAAATTTGAACTGTCCAGAAGAAAATTTAAATTTCCTCTAGACATGAGGTTTGAGCTCATGTCCAGAAGAAAATTTTGAAATCATTGAATCTGTGTCGTCCAGGAGAAAGTTTTGTACATGGAAAGTCTTGATTGTTGTTTTCTGTTGTATGGCTGATTGGTGTTGTATCTGTAAAGTCTTGATTAGGTACAAAGCGACGAGACGACCTACCAACTGCTTCATTAAAAATAGAGATTAAAATATCAAATTTTGGCCCAAAATAAAAGAGAGCATAATAAACCCAAACGGAGGAAGTTAATGTATTGGACTTCTCGAAAGAAAAATAAACTATGTAAAAAATAAAGTGAGGTTTGAGCTCATGTCTAGTAAATTTCTATGGAATGGAGGTTATATGAATGGATTCCATAGGAATTTGATGAACCAATTTGATCAAAAGTGAGTTCATTGTCGTTGTATAGCGAAATGTTTTCTTGACAAAACCATTCTCAGCTAATAGAAGCCAAGCTATCTATCCAGATCAGGGTTGAACGAAGCGAATGGAAAAGCTAAAGAAAACATAAATCCATTGCGATTAGAAACCAGTAATCCGTATGGTCCTTCAAAATTCCTATGAAATTTTTTCAAACCAAAGAGGGCCGACATCATCAGCTGACTTGAAAAGATAAGCACAAAATGAAGCATCCACGGGGTCCGAAATGCAAAAAGGAAATCCAAAACCCAAACCCCCCTCCCCTGCTTCCTCTGGTGACGGGTTGCGCAGCCGCCGACGAGTCACCGAGCGAGATGGCGAGCTCGGCGCTGAGGCGATCTCTTCCGCGGCGCGGATCGCTCCGGCGCCTCCTCCCTTCCCACCCACCACCCGCCGCCACCTCCTCGTTCCGTCGCTCCTTCCAGTCCGGTGAGCACCCCTAACCCCTCCTCTTACCTGCAGTATCTCCGACACCCCTTGCTGCATCCGGACTTAGCTCACTCCCCTTTCCGCACCAATTGAATCGAGTGGCGGGTACAGAGATATAGTTTTAAAGCAAGCCCGCCCTCTAGCTTCCCCGTGCTGAAATCCCTCGTCATTTGTGACGACGACATGCCTGACATTTGGGGAATTGCTGTTTAAAATGTCTCGGCGATCCTGTTTTTTAATACATGCTTGTTTGCTCCAAATGCTGCTTCGCAGAAGAGGGCGCGGCGGGCGAGAGCACGGAGGACTTTGAAAAGCGGATGCTTGGAAACCAGAGGGAGCCAGATGACAACTCATTCTTCGGAAAGCTCGATGGGTTTGGGAACTCCTTCGGAAGAAGACATGGCACAGGCTCTGGGATGGGTGCCTTCAGTCAGCAGGGTGGGATGGGTAACTTATTTGGTGAGAGGAGTAGTCATGGGATCATGGATGGTTTCGACTCCTTGAACGATGGCATGAACGAGAAGCTGGACGACGCGGCCCGCACCTTTCACATGACGGATGAGGTTGAGGACGATGACTATGATTTCAGGCCAGATGTGAATTACAGGCGAGGCTCGACTTACAATGTCCTGGTAAGAGTGATATCTGTTCATTACTTCAGTTATTCAATTTTTTCGTGAGATCATAAATCCTTTGCAATCTTGAGATTTTGTTTATCCTATGCAAGTATTCAGGAAGCATCGCTAAATGTGTGAGCTAGGTTCTGCGTAGTTAGTATATTTCCATGCAGTATAGTACTATTTTGTGGATAGATGTCTGTCAAAAGTCAAAACAGAAAGAAATTGCTCGTCTGATCCACTATTGCCTGAACAACTGTAACCACCAGAAGATAGTGTTATAGTATCATTTTAGCTTTCGAAATAACATTTTAAGCATGCAAGCATCAGTGTTTCATCTACTGGAATGACACTCTTTTAACACCAGATTTTATTCAACTCTACTGCATGCAGGATCTTGACCTGACAAGACCTGCAGCCCCAAGGAATCCTCCTAGACCTCAGTTTGAAACTTCTACAAAGGAAGTTTTAAGGAAAGCTGATTTTAGGGTGAGTACATCTGCTTGGCAACCTATGTAAACTGGCCACAGTTTTTGTTTTAAAGTTTTGAGTGCTTTGGCAGCTTGTAAACTCTAGAACTGTTAACCATTATAAAGTTCAGGAATACAATGACTATGGTATGCCTCAAACGGCACTTCTTTCCTGAATGGTTGGAGTAAGTCATATGCTAGATGATGATAATGTTACATCCATGCTATTTTTTCCAAATATCTTGTGACGATACCCTAATGTTGTTAGGGTTCTGACATTTTCTCTTGATGCTTTCTGTCGCCATATTTGAGTTTACCAATTATTAACAAGTTCAGTATAGTTGAACTCACATGTTGCTTGTTATTCTGTTGATTTAAATTATTGCCTCACATTCTTCTAACTTTCTAAGATGATGTTTAGATGCCAATATTGGAACACCGCAAGTGTCAAAGCGAGTAGGATGCTATGTAGGCATGGAACATATTATTTTCCTTATTTTTCTTATTTCCAAAAATCACTCATGTGTTAGCACACAAACCCCTGCACACTTCAGATTAGTATTGCATGGCCACCTGCATTATAGAAGAAAATAATGTAACCAATCAGCACAAATAAAAGTAGAATATTTTCAAGAGGAAGACCATATCACTAGGCAAGTTCTGCTAGCCAACCCAATCAATACAAACAAAACTGCAGCAACTATAGTCCGAATCTTCTCAAGCACAAAAAGTGAACTTGTTAAATCTTTGGTTTTGTGTTGCTTAGAGCTTACTCATCAAGCTTATTCTATTATTGATCTCTCCATCCCAAAATGCATATTGCTAAAACCTTCTCCAAGAACAGACACAATTGTTTTGTCCTGCGTGTGCTTGGCAGCAGGCACCATATATACTTCCCGTACAAAAAACTTATAAACACACATGCATCAATATCTACAAGCAGAACTGAAAGTAATAAAATCTTTGAACCTTGTCATACATCAGGAAAAAAAAATCTTCCTTTGCCGGCCATAACCAACATAAGATTCTTGGAGAGTATGTAGAGGCTTCTCACATGGTTATTCTTGCTGCCACACATGGCAGCGTAATTGAGCTCCTGTGAGACAGCGAGATTGGTAATTGAGCTCAGGCTACTTTTGCAATCAAATCTGATGGCATTCCATTAGATTTGATTCAAAACTGTCTTAGCCAATATAAATACCGCCTATGTTTTGCTAGAGGGACTAATCAGTAATGGTATTGAAGCGATGGTTATATGCAAGCGTGGTAATGTCTTGGTTGGAGGTCTGCCACTTTGCTTAAACAGTGTATGACTAAACTGCTTATCTTTTGGTGGTTTGTAACCTTTTTTTTTTTGAACAATTTACCTACTGCCAGACACCTTCATGCATGGATACATGGTTTTCAAGAAACCAATTTTGATCTGCTTGATACATTTCGATATCTTGAGCTATTACAACTATCCTCAAGTTGCAGTCTCTGACCACATGGAAGTATTCCTTGCAGAATGTTAGATTCCTCGCCAACTTTATTACAGAGGCTGGCATTATCATCAAGAGGAATCAGGTAATAGGGTACTTTCCCTGCTTTTATATAAGATATAAGAAAATATTGGGTGGAGAGATTTTTGTCTTCCTGATATATAATATAAATGCAGATCATGCTTTCTCAGATTGTTGTCAATAATGCTATTCTCTTGTTCAGAGCTGAATGCATATTCTCTTACGAAGGGGTGTCAGAGTTCAAGCAGCAACTGCCCTTCAATGCATTATTTTTCAAATGTTACTCTTACAGTCTTATTACTAGCAGAAATGGGACACTGGTTATTTGTGAATGTCCCCCTTCGCTCATAGTGCTGTTGTTGAGGTGTTCATTTTCATGCTTGTCGAACACAAACTTTTTAATGCATAATCTTAAAGTAACCCAACTCTATAATTAAAGCGCCACATATAGCATCATCTCTCTTTGTCAATGCTCAGTATGTAGTGTTTTTATCGTATCTTGTTTTACTACCTGCCTGCTTCTGAGGGTGAGCTTCATGGGCGTATCCATGTTCTTTATGAGGCACCTCCTTGCCTATTGTTTCTGACTTATTGATGTGCTCTCCAGACCAAGATAAGTGCGAAAGCTCAGCGCAAGGTGGCGAGAGAGATTAAAACAGCGCGTGTACTGGGGCTGATGCCTTTCACGACGATGGGCAAGAGGCCATTCATCTTTGGCAGAAGTGCGGAGGAGGATGCTTCAGAAGAGGAATATGGGTATGAATTCGTCCAGAAGGATGCTGGGCCTGAGGACACTGTTGGAGATGCTGTGCCCGATTTGGAGACTGCGTAAACAATCTGGAGTTGTTGGTCATTTGTAGAAAAGTTATTGCTTCTACTTAGTGCCTCGTGTTATGTATGTCACACTATTTTTCCTATCTTGTATGGATGCCTCTTGAGAATAATGGAAGCTCACGCCCCGCAAAACATGAAACTGTTGATAGTACTCCCTCCGTCCCAAAATTCTTGTCTTAGATTTATCTAGATACGGATGTATCTAACACTAAAATATGAATAGATACATCCGTATCTAGATAAATCTAAGACAAGAATTTTGGGACGGAGGGAGTATTATGGATAAGCTATTCCGCGTTTTCAGGTTGCTTCTCCCCATTTGTATGGTTACAGCCTTAGGCATAATATCAAGCCCTTCTTAACAAGGCACCATTATGAATGTACAACAGTTCAGAACATTTTATTAGTTGTCAGCCACTGCATTTTTGGACATCCAATTTCTTTGTTCTGAACAGCAGATCTCTGCATTTTATTCCGCACCGACTGTTTACCTTGTTCTTGGTCCAGTTCCTGTACATGCTTGCACGCCTTGTGTGTAATCCAGACAGTAGTATAGGCTTAGTTACTTCAGCTTGCCATTTATTAGTTTGACATTGGTGTGGGTTCTGCAGATCAATGTAGCTTCATGTGTTAGGAAACACTGATTGTGCCGAAGTGGATAGTAGTGATTCATTCGTTTAGGTGTATCAGTTCTCTCAACTACTTCCGCGCGAAGTTCCTAAAATATCCGTGATCTATCGGTTTTCTTGAAGCCCATGCACACCTTTCCTGGACCGTGTATTTGTTGTTCCAAAAAGAACAATGATTTAACAGAAAACATTGCATGCGTGGTTGACATGGGATCTGTATGAAGAGAGAACCTCATAAGCTTTCTCTGATTGTGCCTGATGTCATCTTCGGTGTTTATGATTCCTACATAAAGCGGATGGCGCTCGTGACCTTATGAAGGTCCTCGGCCAAGTGGCCAGTTCCTTTTAATCTATGCCCAAAGCTCTCTTATTTCCAGCCTGAGTTTGTACTCAAGCTCTTCGTCGACTTGCCTGAACCGTCGCATTTGCGGTCTCAAACATTCTGTTTCAATTGATCAATACATGTGCTGTATCTAAAGTGCTTCAGGTGCAGATAAGGGGCACTAGTAGAAAAAGGGCCTACAGTCCCGGTTGGTGAGGGCCTTTAGTCCCGGTACATGAACCGGGACTAAAGGGTCGGTACTAATGCCCTGACCCTTTAGTCCCGGTTCAATCCAGAACCAGGACAGATGGGCCTCCACGTTGCCTGTCCGCTGAGCCCAGGCAGGAGGGCCTTTGGTCCCGGTTGGTGGCA